CCTACACTGAGCTCTCACTACCCTGCTGCAATCCTAGACCCACCAGAGCCTCCAACATCTACCACCATTCCCGGGGCAACCAGGGCTCACACGGGGGTGTTCCAAGCACCCTGGACACAGCAGGGGCTCCACCCTGCATCCAACCAGAGCCCCAGACACAGTCGCTGCCTACCATGATAGGCCAGTCTTTTGCCTGGTTGAGCAGCAAGGATCAATGGCTGCCTATTCTGTCTGGTGCTCCCAACACACAGGAGATACCATCCAGCACGCTATGCCCTCACCATGCTTGTAAAAATCAGCATACATTAGTCCTGGGCAGATTTGTATCTCCTCTGAGCATCCACAGGACTGAGAGTCGGGTCTGAGAGCCCACAGGAGCCTCCACAAATAAGGAACCTGTCTACAGCCACTGGACTGCATGTTGGGTAAACACAGTTGATCCCTAAACAGAGAGAATCCACAACAGGAGCCTCAGAAACAAGGGTCACACCTTCCCTGGTCTGGTGACCCAGTTTGAACAGCTCCAGAACTACAGCGAGCCACCCTCTGCCACCTGAGCTGAGTAGCCTCCATATAAATGCAAGGCTACAAAGGAGAAAAGAGGAATGTGGCTTGTAAGATTAAAGACTGTTCACCTGGGAGGAAAACACTCCTCTGGGAGGAAATACATGAGAACTTTTCTCTCTTTTTTTCCCCCTCCATTATTAGTACCTTATTTTTAACTTTTCACTATTTTTTTAATAGAGGTTAGAGTTTTACCACCCATTTTTACCCTCTTTTAATATTCCTTTAATTTATTTGTTTGAATAGGCTCTATTTTTACTCTCTCTCCCTTCTTTTCTCTCCTTTAACTCACTCTCCCTTAGTATTTTTCTTATACTTTCTCTTCTAGTTTAATCTCCATCCCTATAATTTCTCCTTCTCCTAGGTGATCATCTCTGTTACTAATACCACTAATTTCCCTTTACTCATTAACAGGACTCCTACATCAATTTTACCATGTTTTTCATATCTCCTGTGGCTTTATTTCTCCTAATCTATTATTTTGTTCCTTTTTCTTCATACTACCTGTCCCACTTACCCTTGGGCATCTGTAGGTAGTCACCTATATCGTACTGTGGCTGAATACTGCTTTCTGGTAAAAGGTGGCCTAGCACATTTATTGGGATGCATCTCTATTGGGGGGGATACTTACTGTAGATAATTTTATGATTTGTGCTAGGTCTTGTTATTGAACTATTAATCTTATACCTGTGATTAAAGGCTACACATTATTAGGTATTACAGTTTGTCATTTTCAGGTTGTGTTTGAAACTGTAGTTATTAGTGATTGTACTAAGTAGCCAAAGTGACATAGCACTTGTGATCAACTGATCCTCCTTGCATGCCAATACCTACATTATTTGGGCTATAAACAATCTACAGCCCAGTATCAAAGAACTGGGTGTTAGGCCAAATAGGTTGTAACCTCTCATCCTTAGTAAGCAGAAGGGTTAGGATCATGAGACAGACTCAAAGGCCAAAAGCCTGCTACACCTAGAGAACAACTCAGAAAAGTAGTCCCTACATAAAGAGGCCTTGATACAGTAATAAAATTACCTACCATAAGCAACTTACAAGCCTCAATGTGGAAAACAAATCTTTAAAAAATAGAAAATGAGAAAACATAGAAGCAAGATGCAATCCGAAACACCCAATTCACTCCAAGCAAGCCCTTTTGTAGACAAAATCCCAGGTGAATTTTATGAAATGATAGCAGTAGTAACAAAGCAGGTGAATAAAACCCTAGGCAAAAACAAAACAAATAATCACACAGGTAATTAATGAGATGATGACCATAATGAAGGAAATGGTTAGTTAATCTTGAGTAGATACAGATTTAAAAAAATAGGAGAGTTTAGGGAAACCATGAATGCCCAACTTAGGAAAGAACTGCATGCCATAAAACAGATGCAAACAGATTTACCCAAAAGATTCAACATCTTACTGTGAAGAGCACGTAGAGCAGAATCAAGCATTATGAAGACAGAATATCAGATCTAGAAGACAGGGTTGTGTTTGGCAATCATCTAATGAAAGACTTCTTAAAAATAGTAAAAGAGCATGAAAATCAGCTGCTAGGCAATGCAGAGAAGAATAACACAGGATTAGTTGGAATTGATGAAAAATCAGAAGACCACACAAAGGATACAAATACCTTGTATCAAAGAAAGAACTAGGACCTGATAGCTTCATGGCTAAATTATTCCAAATGTTTACATAAGAAGTAGTAATATTAATCCTTCTCAAACACTGAAAAGCAAAGAGGTGAAAAAACATTCCTGCTGAACATAAATGCAAAAATTCCCAATGAAAGACTAGAAAAGTAAATTCAATAGCATATTAAAAGAATCACTCACCACAATCAAGTAAAATTTATCGTTGGAATGCAAGAATTGTTTAGTAGACACAAACCAAAAACTTTGTTCTGCCACCTGAACAAAATGAAGACTAAAACCATATGACTGTTGATACATGTAGGAAAAGCATTTGACAAGGTCAACATTCCCTCATGATAAATGAAAACTCTCAACAGTCTAGCTGTAAAGGAAATGTGCCTCAACAAAGGAAAGGCTGTATCTTACTGCCTGTCACTGAAACAAAATATCTGACACTGAACACTTAAAGCGGGAGAGGCTGGTTTTGACTTATGGCTTCAGTCTACGGTCAGCTGAAGGAACATGACAGAGGGGTGTGATGGAGGAAAAGTTCTCTAACCCGGTAGTCATAAAGTGGAGAGAGACAAAAAGAACCAGGGACAAGAACACAGCCTTCCAGGCCACAGCCTCAGAGACCTGCCCCTATTTCCTAATAGTCATTAATCCACTCCTGAGTATAGTACCTCATGATCGAAACTGGCTTCCAATCACACATGGCTTTGGGGGAACATTTTAGAATCAAATCATAATAGGCCAAATAGGAAAAGCCCACTGTTAGCATCATATTCAACATTCAACATCTGAAAGCTTTTCCTGTAATTTCCCAGTCTTATCACTTCTACTCAACACTGTACTGGAAGTTCTAGTCAGAGCAATTAGGCAAGAGAAAGAAATAAAAGCCACCCTAATAGGGAAGGAAGATGTGAAATTGTTTGCTGATGACATGGTCCTATTATGCATAGAAAACTCTAAAGACTCCTGCAAAACACTGTGAGAACTGATAAATTCGGGGAAGTCACAGATGCAAAATCAGTACAGAAAGCTTTTAATACAGCAACGTTCAGGCAAGAGGTATCTAGAGGCAAGACAACCTGTATCCAAACTCAGGAAGAGTAAGTCATATTCTGTTTATGTCTAAAAAGATGTCAAGAGTTTCATTCACATTGCATCAAAGCCAATCTGGAAAACAAGCAGGAGGTTTAAATTCAACAATCAAAAACAACACAATAGAGGGGTCAGGCCTTACCCTAAAAGCATCGGTGATTAGCTTCATGTGGTGTGTGATTTTGTTCCTGAGTCAGGTATTTATTTGTCTAATGATGTGAATATTACTCACACAACCAGAAAAATCAGTCAAGAGTAAAGGAAAGTGTGTTGCTAGCCAAGTCCCAGGCCTCAGTTCCCTTCGTATCAAGGGAAGACCATTTTCGTCCAGCATATTTTTGTTTGCCTTGGCTTGTTATTTGATGTCAATAGCCTCTAACACAAAGTGTTGAAGCACATGGTAAACCACCTCCTGCTCCGTCTTTCCCACTGCTCCCCAAGGACTTCAGTTGCACAAGTCCACTTTTAAAAATGCCTCCTACTGATTCTACTGAGATTTGATTTTCCAAGAAAGAGTATCCAGAAACAGAAGACACTGCTCTAGGAGGCTTTTCCTAGTAAGAACTGCTGCTTCAGTTTAACTTGAAAAAGCCCACACCCGGTTCCTAATGACAAACATCTGAACCAGGTCTTCCTGCGAGCAAAATTCTCCCTGCTCACTTAGTTCTACATGTAACCCACAGATTGCTTGTCAAGAACCGGAGCCCGCCAGGAGAACAACATTCCACCAATCTCTGATTTAGCAAGACAATTCTATATCACTCCCCCAACCAGATGGAAATCCTCCACCGCTGCTGTGTAAAAATTTAACTCCTCTTGCTGACTTTCCTGATTTAAAAGTCTAATTCATTTCACCAAAAGGGTGACAGAAGGAAACTAACTAACCAGCTCTCTCCTGCCAGACTACTGCAGACCAAAGAGATTTCATTTTTATTCTGGAAAAAAAGGTCCAAATATGCTAAGCAGGGAGTGTCAGCCCAGAGTTACCTTGTTCCTACTTCCACAGGACTCTGGCTGAAGGCTCTGGAGGAAAAACTAACTTACGGATCACATCAGACCCTAAACTCTCTCCTCCATGACCAAATGCAAAGAAGATGTGTTTTAGGATACATTTTAAGATGGGACATACTTTCTCTATGAAGAGGGCTCCTGAAAGAGGCAATGCTTATTTTTCTAACCCCACTAACACCAGCATCCTGAAGCTCACAGGTTCTGCAGTGTTCTGGGGTGAAAAAGGTTCCAGCAAGTTAGGGAAGGAAGCCAGGAGAGAAAAGGGCTACATCTATTTGCTGATTATAAAAGAAAACATATACAAGTACGCAGAACTATGTATGACTATATGCACATTCAGTATCATAGTGTTTAAAAAAAAAACCAGCGTATGGCTTTTGCACATGTGATCCGCCCAAAATGGCCTCTCCTGCTTAATCTGCAAGGCAAATCTTCCTTTCTCCTTTTTCCTATTCCACTTCATGCGCGCTCTAGCATTCTCTCCCCCTCCCCCCTTTCCCCTCCCCCTTTCCCCTCTGCTCCTCTCCCTGTCCCTCTTCTATGTAAATGATCAATCCCCTTTCTGTAATCTGTAGCTCCCTCCCCCATTACCTATTTCATCATCTGCTATCATCGTTCCCCGGCATCTTCTAACATGCCAATTTTCTTCTAGGTTCAAGCAAACACAATGCCATAGGTATCACTGGATCATATAACGTCATATATATAAATATTTTATTTAATTTTTGTTAAATCCGAAAGGAAACTCAACTTTGCAAACTAGAACTAGGCAGAGCTGGGTCTATGTAGCTCAGAGCAAAGAGATTACCATGAGAAGAGACTGATTCTACTAATCCAAAAGAAAAATCTTCAGGTGTCAGCCCATCCTCTAAATTCACGTCCACTAACAATTGCTGTTCTCGCGAAGAAAATGATCGAACAGCGCCACCATCAGCAGCAGCCGGTAAGTGCACGCAGCTCTGTACGGGGATCAGCAAAAGCAGGCCAGGCTCCTGCTGGTTGCACAACCTGCTCATCGCTCTGTCTCTGCAGAAAGTGTGACAGGGATAAGAAACCAGTTCAGTTACTTTGTCATCGTTTTAAAGAAACACACAGATTCTAGCATGTGTTAGAAAGAAAATAATAATATCAGACTCCACTGAACATGAGAAGTGATTTTTATCAGTGGTTCCTAATACCTGAAATGCCAGCCTAGGCACTTGGAATCCTAACGTAAACATCTGGCTTATGAAACCAAAACTTTTATCCCAAGATTTCTCCCAAAACTGAAAACAAACTTGAACTTTAGGGTCTGCCTCTTCTAACTAGCGTGTTTGGGGAGTCTCCAGATCAAGAAGAAATACAGAACAAAGGCACTTTTTGGCTTGCTTGTAGTTAAAGTAAGGTAAATGTTGATTTCTCTCTGCAGGTGGTAGGCTTGGCCAGGGATGCTTCCTTTGAGAAGTCTGCTCTATGCCTCCACATTTGAACAAGCCCGAGGGCAGAGCTCAAAATTATGACCCCCCATTTTATTCCATAGATCTGACAGGTAAGAATGGAAATCTTTGTTCACTGTGTGTGTCTTGGAAGGCCTGGGAGTTTAGGTTCCCTTACATTGTTTAAATATATCAGACTTCGACTCCGACTCCGTCTTCGTTTTGCCTAAAAAGACTTAATTCAAGACACATTTGTAATGATTTTCCGCTCTGCCACTGAGCTATATCTGCACCTCTCTCATTTTTATTTTTAATGCAGATGATCCTGCAAGTGTTATCATTAGATAAAGTCATAAGCTCTGACTGAGCAAAGAAATTATTATAAAATCAATTCTTAAGTGTCAGTGTCTAACTGCACTTTTAATAATTTTCTTGGGGCCAGGGGTTTAACTCAGTGGCCTAAGCGCCTGACTAGCAAGCGTGAGGTTGTAAGTTCAATCACCCAAAAAAAATTTTTTCTTTCCTCACATTTTCCATTAGATACCATTCCCTACATAGTTTCTGCTACTTAGCTTTCCATTACTGTGCCAAAATACCCGAGTCAGATTATTAAGAAAAAAGGTTTGCTCTCCTTCTCAGTTTCGGAGGCTTCAGTCTATGGTTGCTTGGCCCCATTACCTCAGGTCAGTGGTGGAACAGAGCATCATGGCAGGAATGTATGGCAGAGGAAGCCTGTTCATCTCACAGCAGCTGGGAAACAAAGAAAGAAGGAGAGATAGAGACTGGGGTCTGATCTCACCTGCTAGGGCACCTTCCCCCATGACCTAACTTCCTCTCATCAAGCTGCACTTCTTGAAGGTTTTACCACCACCACCACCCCTGAAAGAGCAACAAGCTAAACTTAAGCCCTTGGGGTCAACAGGCTGAAGACAAGGCCTTTGGGAGACACTTATCCAACTCACAACCCTCCCCATCTCAAATTGAAAATCAAAGAAAATAAAACCTTATACCTAAACATGCCTAATGGCCACCAGGTCCTATGGTGTGAAGGGTGTAAGTATTGAAGCCCGAAGAGTCAAATAATTTTCCCCCAATGTTTTAAGCAAAATGAAAAGAAAATTACCACTCATGTTCCAAAGCAGAGTTGCCACTCATGTTCCAAAGCAGAGGCCCAGGATCTCCAGGTCCTGCTGAATTGTGCTCTACTCCTGCAGCCTCACTTAGGAATCTCACATTCTTATTCTGAGTCCTTTTCAGACCCATCGGGCTCCCTGGTGTGCTGTGACATGGCATCACAGGTGTCTCACTACCCAGTACCGAGTAAGCACAGGCGTGAGGGTCCAGTCACATTCTCCGTGTCCAGTAAAATCAGTGTGTCCCTTAAAAGTTGTCAGAACTGAGCATTCTGACTTCTCTCAATTTTGATTTAAGTGTGAATACATTGTTGTGCAAGAAGTTTTTTTAACTGTTAGCAAGACTTGTCCCTCCTATGTATTAAAAGTGCAGTTTTTACGTACTTCGTGAATTTTATCTTCCTGTAATTTTCTTATGAGCACAAACCATTTGACTTTGCTCCCATGCCCAGACATCAAAACAGTATCTGGTGGGAAACAGGGGTAAGCTCAATAAATATTTTTGAATAAATAATGACTCCAGCTACCCAGTGTGTTGCAGGACGCCTATTCTATTAATGATCAAATATTCAATCTTGTGCAGCCAGACAAAATCAGCAGCTATTTTACCTTTCAGCTCTCACAGCACTTTTGCATCTGCCTTCTCAGCATTCCCCAAACTTAGGTCAACCTCATCCTAGCTTCATAATTTTTCTCTGTCATTCATTTAATATTTTTCTTTAAACGGTCTCACTTTCTAAACTTGAAAATACATGTTTTAAGACAAGTTTTATCACTGTGATACTATACACTAAAAGCCTGTAACACTTGTCCTACGTGCTCTTAACAATAAACTCAAAACTATTACATTTTCAAAATGTGTATGCATATGAGTCCCTAAATCCACAGAGTAAGTACACACAGTTCAAGAAATGAGCCCCACTGGCCCCTTCACCTCATTCTCCTCCTGAACACCACAGAGGCTGCATTTTGGCAGCATCCTCCCATCAATCACTGCCAGCAAGGGAAGACCCTCTAGGCAGAGAGACACTGAACACCAAGAGGGTGCGGGGCCCACCCACAGGGTCCACCTGCAGGGCCCACAGGTCACCCCTGTGGAAACACAGGGGATGGGGTCGGGCTGAACCAACTGATCCAGAATGACCTCTTCCCTGTAGGTTACACAAAGACCAAGCAATCTGAGGTGGGAAATTCTGAACAGCAACCACCATGGGGGTCAGGGGGAGGGATGTGCTAAATCTATGGGACATTATGAAAGTAGCCCTAGGAATACTGCAGTCATATGTTTACATGAGATAAACAGAATGAATGCAAATAAATAATCTAATGGTGAACCCCAAGATACTCAAAGGACAACAGTTCAAACTCAAACCTAGTTTAAGGAGATAAATCATAAAGGCCAGAGTGGAAATTAATGAAATTGAAACTAAAAGAAAAAAACAATATAAAGAATTAATGAATTGAAGAGTTAATTCTTTCAAAGAATAAACAAAATAGATAAATCCTCAGCCAGACTTACGGGAACAACAGGAGAGAAAAAGACTCACACCAATGCAATTAGACATGAAAACAAAATTACAATGAACACTGCTACAATCCAGAAGATAGTTAAGACACTATGATGAATAACCGTATTCAAACACACTGTAGAATCTTCAAGGAATAAGCAGATTACTAGACACATCAGAATTACCAAAACTGAACCAAGAACACATAAAAATTCTTTGAACAATCCAATAACAAGCAATGAAATTGAGACAGTAACAAAAATTTCACCAACTAGGAAAACCCCAGATCCTGATGAAATCACTATTCTACAATACCTTCAGGGAGGTTGTAACATATTCTTCACACTCTTCAATGAAATTTACAGTGAAAGAGTGTTTCCAAACTCATTCCTGGAAATAAGTATCACTCTGATTCCAAAACCAAAGACCCAAATGAAAGAGAAAACCACAGATCAGTCTCATTAATGAAAATAGACACATAAATCCTTCATAACACACTGCCAACTAGAACACAACAAATCATCAAAAAGATCACTCTTCATGACCAAGCAAGCTACATTCACTCTATGGATTCAACATATGCAAATTGAGAAATGTACTAAGCCACATAAAGAGAAGTAAGGATGCAAATCATGTGATCATATCAATAGCTACATAAAAAGCTTTTGACAAAATCCAGTACCTATTCTTACGACAAAATCCTAAAGAACATAAGTATAGCCTACCTCAATCTGGCAAAAGCCATTTATAATAAACTTACCACAGTCATCATATTAAATGGGGACAAGCTGATAGCTTGTCCTCTAAGATCAGGAACAGGACAAGGATGTCCACTATCACCACTCCTGTTCAACACAGAACTCAAAACACTAGCCAGAGCAGTGAGGCAAAAGAAACAGGGAAAATGGATATGTATAGGAAAAGAAGAGATCAGATTATCATTATTTGATAACATGATCTTTTACATAGAAGAAGAAAATTTCACTGAAAGACATCTAGAGTTAATAACCAATTTCAGCAATGTAGCAGGATAAAAATCAACACATGAAAATCAGTAGCATTCCTGTACAGTAGTAATTAACTTCCTGAGAAATAGATCTGTACAGCAATGTCATTCTCATAGCATCAAGAAAAATTAAATACTTGGGAATTAATCTAATCAAAACAGTGAAAGACCTCTATAATAAAAACTATAGAGACTGAAAAGGTGATTGAAGAAGATATCAGAAAATGAAAAGATATTCCCTATTCCTGGTAGGCAGAACCAGTATTGTCAAAATAGACAATAGATTCAGAGATGTAATTCAATATTAACCACAATACTAACAGCATTCCTCACCCAAGTAGAAAAGAACAGTCCTAAAATTCATCTGGAACCAGAAGACACCCGGAAGAGCAAAAGCAACCCTGGGAACAAGAGCAAAGCAGGAAGCATCACAATCCAGAATTTCAAGTTATATTACCAAGCTAATTCATAGAAACAGTATGGCACTGGCACAGAAACACACTTGTGAATCAGTGGAGCAGAAAACAGGATGCAGCAAAGCCCAAGACACATTTGGCCACGTGATCACTGGCAAAAACATACACTGGAGGACAGACAGCCTGTATAGTAATGTGTTGAGAAAACTGGCTATCCACATGCAGAAAACAGAAGGTAGAGTTCTATCTTTCACCAGTACCAAAATAAAGTCAAAATGGATCAAAGCTCTAACTATTAACACAGAAATGCTCAGTTTGCTGAAAGATTAAAATAAGTCAAAATAGGTAATAATAGGTCCTATGAATAGGCAAAAACTTTCTGAATAGAACTCTAACTGCACAAAAAATAACTCCATGAGTCAAGAAATGGGGATTATAAAAAATCTAAAATCTCTGCACAGCAAAGTAAACAGCTAACAGAGTAAAATGATAACCTACGGTGTAGGGAGCCGCACGACAGCCCCATTGCTGCCTCCCTGTCTCTCTCTCTCTCCTATAGGCACAATGCGTCTGCCTACATTAACCATAATCCTCTCCAGCTTGATGACCCTGTTGTATTCATCCCCGTAGCCTCTTCCTTTCCCACCAGCCCGCCCTTGGCCTATAAAAGACGTGATCACTTCCGGAATAAACGGGGCTTGATCGGATTCTCTCGACTTGCCTCAGTCTCTGTCCCCATGTGTTTATTTAATCCCCGTTCCCCCTCCAGGTACACCCCATGGATCGATCTGCAGGCCGGATCACTACAGAATGGGAAAAAGATTTTTTTCAAATATACCTTGGACAAAGGACTAATACCTAGAATTTAGAAAGAACTCAAAAAAAAGACCCTCCAAAATAAAAGAACCAATAAAAAATGGGCACTAAAAATTATTTGACTCTTCTCAGGAAAAGTACAAAATGCCAATAAATACCTGAAAAATGTTCAACATTGCTAACCATTAGAGAAATGCAAATTAAAACAACACTGAGTTTCCATCTTATTCTTGAAAGAATGGCTATCGTCAAGGAATCAAATAACAAATTCTGGTGAGGCTGTAGTGAAAAAAAAAAAAAAAAAAAAACTTTTACATTGCTGGTGGGAATTTAAACTAGTACAACCGGCATGAAAATCAATGTGGAAATTCCTCAAAAAAAAATATTAAAAATAGAAATTTCATTTGTTCAGCTATTCCTCTACTTGGTATCTTCTAGAAAGAGTTAAAGACATAATATTATGGCAAAACACGCATATCAATGTTTGTAGGCCACAATTCACAGTAAGTATATCATGGAAGCAGCCTGTATGTCCACCAACAGGCAGATTATAAAATGTGGTATTTGTACCTAATGAAATAAAGACAGATAAATTCCAGTCATTTATAGAAAAATGGATGCATGATAAAACCTAACATTAAGTGAAGTAAATCAGACACAGAAGCTTAAATACTGTATAATTCCTCTCATATGAGAAATCAAAAGTCTAAACAAAGTGGAAAAAACAGATAAAAGGAAACAGGTGGATTTTTCATAAAAGGGAAGGAGTGGGTCTAGGAGACAGAGAAAAGCAGGAAGAAGGGAGGGAAAAAGGATGTAAAAAGGAATTAAGAGGTGTCAGGCACATGTACCAAACACCCACAGTGAAAGTATGTGTCACAAGTATGCACGAATAAAAAAAGGCTTCCAGGGATGGTGGCACAGGCCTCTGATGTCAGCACTCAAGGTACTGGGGCAGGGGGATTACCACCAGCGTGAGGCCAGTCTGGGCTACATAATGAGTTCAAGGACAGTCTGAACTCCATGGTGACAACCTGTCTCAAAAACCCCAAAAAATGTGGGCCCAGGGCACGGAGGTGGCAGCTAGATGATCCCTGACCAGGAGACGACTGTGAGCCTTAAGCTCACGCTCCTCCCCCTGCCCTTCAGAGTCTCCCCTCTCCGGGCTGGCTAGCAGCCAAGAAGCACCAGGCTCCCTGGGAACGTTTGTGAACAGCACCCTAGGCTTACTCAGTCTGGGTCTGCATTTTGACAAGATCCAAGTCTGAGGAATGCTGCTCCAGAGTGCCAGTTCTCTAACTTGGTGGCACATTCCAACCATCGGGAAGACTTTAAACAATACTGATGCCTGGGCTCCGTCCCTAGAGAGTGTGCGATAAGGGTCTAGGGCCTGGCTGGGCCTAAGTAATTTTTAAAACACCCCACCTTATCACCCCAAGGCGAGTCAGCCTCGGATCCAACACAGGCAGGCTGCTTCAGTGCAGAAGGGCCCCGGGCCCCTGGAGCCCCGAAGCAGCCAGGGTCCTGTTCTGACATTCAGCTGGGCCACAGCCCCTGTGTGAGACCCAAGAAGTCACCCAGTCTGCTGTGAGGAGTCTCCGACAGCAATATTGTGAACAGGACACCATATTTGCCTGAATGTTTTTGGCTTTTGCAGCAGGCTGATTTTACAGAAACAGAAGAGACCAACTTCTTGCTTTTTAAAATTCTCACTCCTCAGCTCATACCACATTACCACTGTCCCTCTGTTCAAAGCCCCTCTCTTTCTTCTACAGTATATTCTTGCTTGAGATCATTCCAGCCTAAGAAAAGTGTTTATAAGGAAATTTACCTCCATCTTGGATGACAGGATGCATCAGATCAAAATGAAAAATGGTGGAATTGCTTATCAACGTTTCCTGTTATTCTTCCGTCTCCTTTTGCAGATGTAAGTAATAAATCTAAACCGACACCCATGAGAGGGGAATTTGGCTCAGGTAATAACACTTAATTAAAATGTATAATATCCATATGTACTAGAGAGATACAAAGAATGCTTCTTTGGGCATGTTATGAGCTCAGTTTTTCAAAATTTGAAATGGTATTGCTTAACTTAGCCCATAAATGATAAGGGATAGCAAGGCAGGGTCCATCGCTCAGTGGTACAATGCTTGCACGGTACGTGCTAGATTCGGTTCTCACACTAATAAGAAAAAGAATGTAAAATAACATTAGATGAGATGTAAATGTCAATAACACTATCCTTGGGTACAAGATTATGAAATAAGTACATTAGTAGTAATAAAATATTTAAAGTAATTACCATGTATCAGGAGGAACCAGGCTATATCATATACAGATACAAATTCCATATGATGCATGTGATTATTATGTCTATCCAAATTGTACCAATAAATTTAATAAGAAAAAAATTTTAAAATTACCACTTATTGTACATTTGCCAAGTACTATACCAAGCATCATCAAATGTTTTCCCATTTCATCCTCATTAGCCTACAAAATAGATATTTTTAACCCTGTTTAAAGATGAAAGTCTTGAAACTCAAAGATAAAAGGAAAACTTTAATATCTTTATGCAAGATTAGCTCATTAACCCAAGCCAAATAATAACTATAATAAAGATTCCCATATCTCCCTTCTCCTAAAAGAATAAACTTTAGCTTGTTCACCCCACAAAAGCCTGTCCTCCCTCTCCTTCCCTTCCTTGGTCTTCAGCCAGCTTCTGGAGGGCTCTGGCAGACGTCACCTGCCATGTTTTCTCTCCCTTTAACCCTGAACCTCTTGTAGCCCAGGACCTCTTGCAGCAGTAAAATAGGAAGCCATGATCTCAGACCATGAACAACTGCAATGGCGAAACTCTGAGCCCTGGCTTACCTTCTCCTCCCCCTCCCCTTCCTCCTTGTCAAATTTTCTACTGCCTTGATTTGCTTTTCTGACACAAGCTCTCACTCCCTTCCATCTCTTTACATGTCTACTGTTCCACCAATTCTCCTTCCTCACCACTCTCAGACTTTAGGCAAAGCGTAACTTCTACTTCGGCTTCTCCCTTAGTTCTTCTGATGTCCCCTAAACCTTTGTAGTCCCAGAAATGGAGCTGGTGTCAGGAACTTTCCTTCCCCAAGCATGGTGCTCTGGCTCCTGCCCACCAGTGGAGTTACCACTACTGCCTGCTTGGTCCTCAGCGTCTGTGTTGGTCACAACTGTTCTGTGCTGTGTGGGCCTGGACCGCAGTGCTCTCAGGTAAGGAACAGGCACTAGATAATCTCTAGCATTCTTTCTTTATGTACCTTTCTTGCATAGTTCTTCACAAAGAACAAACTCAAAACCCTTCAGTCTGGCACTGAGATCTCAACTTTATTCCTCTACTTTCTTACCTTATGAAATAACATAATACCCTTACACATATATAGTAGCTAAAGTGCCGGAAGACTCAATAACTTTGAGTATCATATCTTAACAGAGAGGATTTAGAAATTAAAGGAGAATTAAGACCTCATGTTCCTCCCAAGTTCCACCGTTCCAGTTCGCCTGGCTTTTTGGTGAACTAATTGAACTCTTCCTGACTTTACAAAGGATGCTTTTTTGGCCAAATATGGCATCTGAGTTTCAAGAATATGTATCACTTTCCAAAACTCGCAGAATCATTTTCAAAAAGCAAGAAAGCCGAGACTATTATTTTAACAAGCATCCAGGGAAGAACCAGTGGTTAAGAAAAGAACTGGATGGAGTAAAAGAGGTGACAGCTGCTGGAGACGGTGGCACAGACCTGTAATCTCAGCACTCTGGGAGGCTACGGCAGGAGAATTAAGAGTTCAAACCCAGCCTGCAAAATTTAGCAGCTAAGACCCTGACTCAAAATAAGTGAAAAGGGACTAGAAGAATAGCTCAGTGTGGAGGCCGTGGGTTCAATCTTGAGTACAAGGGGAAAAAGTGACAGTCTAAAAAATACTATTATAATTTTCACCCCAGGGAACTAATACACATTTTATTTCACAACACTGAAATTACATCAAAGGTGCAAACTTCCTTAATTTGCTAATAATTTGAGTTAGTTAAATGGCTTTTCTTCAGAAAGGTGGCCCACATATGGGGAAACTGCTGCAATCTATATATAATTTCACTTCTCACTGAGCCATAAACTTATGCAACAGCTAGAAATGCAGAGGAAGAGACAGGTGAAAAGAAAAACGGTATGGAACACTCTACACAGCTCAGGAAAAAAGGCCAGAAGTGACCTGGAGGCTCAGCAGGCGAAGTTCTTCCTCCTCCTGTCTGTAGAGCCGGGTGGCGGGCATCCGCCAGCTCCACCCCACTTGCTTGCAGGACGCTTCTGGACGCCTTAGACTTCTGTTCCGACAGGGAGTCCCCTAAGGAGCCAGGCCCTTGCTTTCTTATTCTCTCCGCCCAGTGTTCTTCATACAGTCGCTTCCTCCTGTCTTCTTGTTCTGCATTTTTCATTCAGAAGCTCTTCATTAAGCACCCACTAGGGGCCGAGCACTGATCTAGGATCTGCAAACACATCATCAAGCAGTCAGGGCCCTGACTTCATAGATCTGGCGTTCTAGAGAGAAAGATGAACAGCAAACACAAATAATACAGCATGCGGTGGTAGGTGCTACAAAGAAGGAAAAGGCAGGGTGCGTGGGTAGAAAATGTGCTACTGTGTGCAGAGCCAGTCTCTCTGTGTAGGTGATATTTGGCAGATATTTAAAGGAGTGAAGGAGCAGCCATCTGGATTTCTAGAGAGTCCGTTAGACTCGCCAATGGATCGCGGTTCTCTTTCTCTCTAGACAAGATTTCCAAGACCTTCACCCCAAACCGCTTAGCAACCGCTATCAATGGGTCAGAGATCAGCTTCATAATGAATTCCATCAACCATTCTTCACAGAGAGGAGTTTTAAGACTTCCTTCCGCTTTAACATCCTATCATTTAAACCTGAACAAGGCTGGTTATTCCACCACGTGGACGCGCTTGTTACTGCAAACTACACGCCAGGAAATCACACCGTCGGGCGACCCCTGCTGGCAGCCACTGGTAACACCCGCTTCAATTCTAACAAACATTTTCCCCAAAACAAAAACTAAATTAATATTAACTTCTCCAGTCTTTCTCTAAAGTTACTAGGATTGATCCTTTGATCTAACAGAGCGTTGTGCTTCCCATCAAGCGCACTCCGTGGAAGCTTGGATCCCACCCATAAATGTGCCAACCCTGAGGCTTAAAACGTCTGGCTCAGTGTTGAGCTTGTAAATCACTTTACAGTGAGGTGTTGTTGGATTTACAGCGGGTCATATTACTGAAGACTCAGTTTAAAATATCCTAAGTTAGAAGTGCATTCTATATACCTGATCTACCAAATATCACACTTCAGCCTAGCTTATTCCAAACATGTTCAGAAAACTTACAGTACACTTAGTTGGGCAAAATCATGTGACAAAAGCTTATTTTTAATAAAGCTGGAGAGGCTGGAGATATAGCTCGGTGGTAGAATGTTTACCTACCATGAAACTGGGTTTTTTTGCTTTTTTGTTTGCTTGTTTTTTGGTGCTGAGCTTGAACTCAGGACCTTGCACTTGCCAAGCAGGCGCTTACACCACGGAGCTAAATTCCCAGCCCAAAAGTGTTGTTTTAATGACATAATTCCATAAAGACAAAACAAAGGGAAAAAATCATTAACAAAGAAAGTCAACAACTTACGAGAAGTTGAGAATGAAAGAATAGCAACTGTGCTAGTCAGCCAGAAAATGTAAGTTTAAAAAGGATTTTATTAGATATGTCCTATAACAAAAGACTTATAAACATTATGGAATATGTTTTCAACTATAGTCTTCAAAAGTTATAGAAATCCTGTTTAGGGGCTGGAGATTTAGCTCAGTGATGTACATGCTTGCCTGGCAAGCAGGAGATTGTGAGTTCAATCCCTGGTACCAAAAAAAAAAAAAAAAAAAAGCAGACAAAGAAACTTCTGCTCTCCTTCTCTACCATGATCTATTATTGTAAGCCTGTAATCCCAGCACTCTGGAGGCTGAAGCAGGAGGATCATTATGAGTTCAAGAACAGTCTGGGCTATAAAGTGAGTTCAAGGCCAGCCTGAACTGCATAGCAACATCTTGTCTCAAAAAGACAAAAAAAAAAGGAAGAAAAAGAAATCCTGTTCAAATGACACTTTGACACTTATCAAAACTTCCCCCCACCCATTCAACCAAAACATCATGATGTCATCACCAATGACTACAATCTTTTAGGTCTCTCTCTCACAACACTGGTGCATTGAGGTAAATGAAAGACTTTAACTCCCTTAATTGCCCCTGGCCTTTGCCAAAGCTACCTGAAATATATGGTAGAGATCAAAAGGATGTGCTTGGTTTACAAGCACAGCTCCAAGACAATCCCCAATCCTCCAGCCTTCCACACCAGATCCCCACCCCAAACCCTTCCCTCTTCCATGCAGATTCTGAAATGAGCATGGGGCCTCAGCCATTTGTTCTTATTTCTTAGTATTCTGCCTCAAGTTAACATTCCTTTCGCCTTTAAAAATCATTCTTGTACCTACTCTGAGGAACTTTCTCCCCTACCTCTAACACCACAGACCTTGTTTGAAAGCTCTTTTATCAACTCCCTGGCCTCACCACAGGAGGAGTGCCTGGAACACCATTCAGGGCTATTCTCAGTCCAAGTGGAAGGCAATGTTAACTTTATAAAAGTGTCTCTGGAGTTATATCTACAATAGCATGATCAGAGACATGCCTGTAAGGATATAAATTATCCTACAGAGCATTTAGGGAAGCCAAAGAAAATAAACCCAGTAGGCAGTCTTTCTCAGACCCCCAAGTGATTGAGAGTCTTTGCTGAGTACTTGGTTGCTGTCTGGCCCTAAAATGCTCCTCTGGACCCTGCTGAGGGGGGAGGAAGTCATGCACATTATCTCCAGATAGAGGAAGTCAGGAGGGACCCTCGGAGGCCAGGAGGAGTCTGTACCCTGAGTTGCACTGAGCTTTGTCCTGATTTTATGTTGCTTGAATAGCAAGAAAAATAGGAATTTTGAATTCACAGATATGGATGTAAAGCCTAATCTAAAAATTAAAGATGGTGCATTCCTGTTTAATCTTTCTGGATCTCAAGTTCCTCCCTATAAAATACAGCTGATAATAATAACAATTTTGCACAGTCATATTCAGAATTTTAAATGATATATATAAAGCAATTTTTGATGCAATGTTAATTACATGGAGACTCTCTGGACGTGATAGCTATTTTTTAAATTCTTACTTAGGCAAAGACTCATTTCACTTCCACCTAGAAGTGAAGCTCAAAAGCACCTATGGTAGGGTCAAAATTTGCCTCAAACAATACTGTAATATGGTCTCATCATTTAAAGAAATTTTTGGAGTTTTTTATTTGTTTGTTTGTTTTTACTTAATCAAGATCTGCAGAGCCTTATAATGCAGAAAAGGTAAAAGAGTTGAAAGAGCACAAGTTGCCAATGCCTTCTCTCTGATTTCTAAGCAGACCAGTATCTTCATGGAACCAATTAAAATGAGTTTCATGCAAAGTGCGCTCTGGCTGAAGAGATACACTGAGGACTCTCAACCTTGATTGCATGTGAAAAGCAACTGGAATTGGCTGAAAGGGGCCCAGCATCAGAGCTGTCCGATGGCTACAGTGTGCAGCTCAGATGAAACTCCGCCAGCCTTTTTTGAATGATCTATTAAATGAAGTATAAGTATTTACTCACTTAAATATTTGAAATTTCTTCCAAATACCACTGAATCTCAGCCTGCATGCTGCTGAATCACTTCTTGATAAGTGGTCAAGGGCCAGAGGCATAGTCTTTGCTCAAAGGCTTAAGTCTGGCAAGAAGGTGACCAGGAAGTCATGTGGCCCTGGCTTCATTCCTATTTTACATAAGTATGTGGTGACAGAAACAAACAAACTAGGAAACATAATTTTATGGTACCACTATTACACATTTGTACTGTCATTAACCAAAAGTCATTATGAGGTGCACAATTGTATTGTTCAGGTCCGAGGTAAAATTAAGGCTAACACTAGAGCCCAACTGACCTTGTTTTTCTCCTCCTTGGTACTGGGAATTGAACCTAAGGGGCTTCTACCTCGGAGCTGCACTCCAATCCCCTTTCAAATTTTATTTTGAGACAAATTTCACTAAATTGCCTAGGTTGGCCTTGAACTTGCATTTCTCCAGCCTTGGACGCCCAAGTAACTGGGGTTATGGAATGTGCTACCACACTGGCCACCTCTGCTCTTGACGAGTTGCATTCCATGCTAGCATTCAAATAGCAGAGGGTTTCTCCTATCTACCTCCTCCACCATGACCCTACTTATCTCAGAGAACTCTCTCTGTCTCAATTTCGGGCCACATTCCTACCCCTCAGCCCTTTTGCATGAGTCCTCCAAACTGCAGCAGTCAAGGACCATTACATAGAGGACAGCACTGCTGCTGCAGGAGACTCCATTCAAGGATGTGGCCCAGCGCGTTTGACTTAGAAGCTTCTCTCTGGCTTTTTCTCTGACCTTCCAGAGCTGTTTGCAGTGAACAGCGAAACTGCACACCCAAAGCCCCAGTCTGTCAGCACGAGCAGATTGTTCTCCTCTTCTTGGTTCCCATGGCCAGAATCCTTAACTAATCCTCCACCCATGGAGTGGCACCGATTTCACAAGCTGTTAATTCAGCTGCTCAGCTAACATCTGCTCTTGATTTACTTGCTGAGCACCTCCAGTGTGTACAGAGCTGCGTTGTCACGCTTCGCCCTTCTCAGCTACTCACCCCCTTCCTCCTCTGCACCTGCACACATCTCTCCTGCCTCCTACTTCTGTCTGTGTTGATCCATCCACCTGCACTCCAGACCCCAGACTCCTGGGAGCTGGTGCCATCAATTACTCTCAGCCTGAAATCTTTTTCTCCAGCCCAAGGGCTCTTTCATTTATTCAATGTAGTAACATGTTTAAGCCTCTCCCATCTTGGGAAATTTTTTAAAAATCTCTCACTTTAACCCTATCTCTTTCTCCAATTTCTTATTCAAAGTAGCCTTGATATTTATTTGTATCATGTGCTAGACTGCGCAGTGTCCCTGCCAAGGAAAAAAAAATTCTTGTCTTCCTAGAATGTGTCTTTATCTGGAAGGGAGCTCTGCAGATTTCATTAGTTAAGAGTGAGCCCCTAACCTGCTGACCGGTGTCCTTATAAGAAGAAGAAACACAGACATGCACACAGGAAACTCCAGATGACGATGGAGGTGGACACTAGTGATGCATCTACAAACTCAGGAGTGCCCAGGCATGTAGGCAATACCAGAATTTCAGAGAAAGGCATGAAACAGTCTCTTCTCCAAGCCTTCAGAGAGATGGCACTGCCAGCTTCTTATTTTGGACTTCTGGCTTCCAGAATTACGAGACAATACAACAAAACTTTTTTTAAAAGCCACCCGCTTTCAGGCATTTTGTTATGGAATACTTATGAAATGAATATACTCCCTGAGGGACCTTT